CACTCTGGCTACTAAGAGGAGCAGGAGGATGCTTCCCTCAAAGGCTAGGGGTTGTGTGTGGCGGGCAAGGCGTGCCGGGTCTCAGCAGTAAGGACAGGGTGCTGTTGAGGGCCCCTGGGGAGCCCCGCAGCCCCGACTGGGGTGAGAGGCGAGGAAGAGGAGCGAGGCCTGGGGCAGGGTCAGCCCTAGGGATCCAAGTTCTGGGGATGGGGCCGGGGCTGGGGCAGGCAGAGGGCACAGGGTGCAGAAGAGGCCGGGCTTCCAGTAACAGGAACCTCAACTATGTGGTGACTCAGGCTCAGAGCAGCCTAGGCCCTTCCTTCCCTGCTCAGCCTGATTTCCTTAAACCAGACTTGAAAAGTGTAAGCTCAGGACTGAGGGAAACCTGGGCTGATCTGCCTTTCCTCCAGAAACTGGGGGAAAGGCAGAGGAAGTTGGAAAAGATGGGAGAAAGGCAGATTCCGAAGAAGGGGTGATGGGGCTGGTGTTCCCCTGTCTGGGCCCCTCCCTCCCCGAGCCCTGCCAGGGAGGGAGCTGGCCGGGCGTTGGCTGCTCCGATCATTCCAGCTCCCTCCCTCAACTCCTGTTTACAAGTTGGTCGGCCCAGTCCCCAGGCCAGTTCCCAGCTCTTCTTTTTTCCCTCCCGCCCTCCCTCCTCACACAGCATTATTCGATCGTGTCTTGCAGCTGCTTTTCCTTAATCTCGGGACCACGAGTCCTATTATCTTCTCGCTCCCACAGCAGCATCCCCACACCCCTGACTCACCAGCCTGCAGGCCATCTCCTGCTGCTGCCTGGAACCCAACCAGGCCCAGGGTGGCCACCTGCCCTGCTCTCCCTGCCCATGTCTGACCCCTCGCTCTGGGCCCGACAGCTTTTCCTTGCCTCCTTTTGCCCCAGAGTCTGCTCAGAGCCCTGTGTCTTGTCTCTTGTTCTCTAATCAGCTGTGGCCTGGGCTCGGCTTGGGTCTGAAGATTTCGGTGAGGACGAGTGTGATGGGGAGGTGCCCATCTCCCGTCTGGTCTGAGCAATTCAGGAAGTCCTTATTTGAAACCTGAGCCTTCAATACAGCCTGGGATTGGAACTGAACTGGAGGAGGGTGCTTTCACCTGGCGTCAGATTTTCGAGTTGGGATTAGGAGTTTGGGGTTTGAGAATTGCTTAGGAAGTAGGACTATTCGGGTCCCAGAATCTTCCAGGAGGTTGTCAGCTGTCCCGCTGAGGAGGATGACAGTTAGGAAGCGGTGGCCTGAATGGGGAAGGGCCTGGGTGGAGGTGGACTCCGGGCAGCCCACACGGCTCCAGAGGGGGCCAACAGCCGGGTCGTTTCTCTGCTGCTCAGGTGGACATGCCAAAGGGACTTCGAACAGACCGCACACTTCACTTCCTTTCTGAGATGGAAGTTTAAAAACTAAGCTCGCTTTCTGAGCTGTCAACGTGTTTCCTTCTGTGTAAGACACCACGAGTTTCAAAGAAGGGGACTTGTGGCCAGAAGGGAGTGGAAGGGGAATCCCCTGGCAAGGGGCTTGCCCAAAGAACACCCTTTGTGGTTGCTATGGAAACAGGCATAATAGGAACAAAACAGGCACGGTTGCTGGGCAACAGGAGTCCACGTTCAGACACTACTGTACACATCAGGGAACCCCCGAGGGAGAGCCCTTGCTAGGAAGCTGGGGTATCCCAGTGATGGCAACTCCTAGAGCTCACCTGGCTTTGCCAGGGAGTCTGCAGGACTGCAGTGTGGGGCTGTGCCTCTGGGAGGGGAGGGGCGGGGTGCCACCGGATAGGCTGAAGTCCTCCCAGATTCCTGGATAGCCCTTATTTTGACGGAGGAATCTGAAACCAGACAGAGCTTTTCTTTGCAACGTTGGGACCAAGAACACTCATCATCCTGGGGGTTCTCCATCACCTGTACCACCGCTGGCACCATAAGCACCGGTGGCAGGGGCCACGGGAAATGTTGGTGCAGCAGCATGAAAGTTCACCAGTGGGGGGACTGATGGGCAGGGGGAGCTGGGGGGGTGTGGGGTGAAGGATGCTGTTGTGAAAAGTTCATTCATTCACTCAACAATGCAGTCCTGAGTGATCGCTCCGTGCCAGCCACTCACTGTTCTAGGCAGGGCACACAGGAGAACAGAATATCCCTGCCCTCATGGGGCTTAGGAGCTAGTGAGAGCTCTGACTCCTGCTTCTGAGAGCTGTGTGCCTTCAGGTAAATCACTAACCCCCTCTGAGGCCGTTTGCTGCCAGAGGCAATCCCAGACGATTAAATGAACTAACACATGAAAATGCCTTCTACAGTGTCAGACACAGTCACTTTGCCCGTCCCTTGGGGGCGAGGCAGGGGTGGGGGGGGCGGCTACAGCAATGGGCAGAAGAGGTTTGGCAGAAATTTCTAAGTGCGTATTTTCAATTACATCATTGAAAACGCTTGAGGAAAAAAAAAACCTGTTGAAAATACTCCCTTCCCTTGGGCTATATAATGGGCTGCCCTAGGAAACCCCAGGTCTGGTTGCAGCAGAAAAGGTCACAGTTTCTTAGGGGGCAGGGTCTTGGGTACCCCTCTCTGCCTTCTAGCCAGGAGGCCAGGAGGAGCCATTCCCCAGACTCCCCACCCCACCCCAACCTGGCAGTGACAGCCCCAGTGAATGAAGTACCTAAACAGCAATCACTATTCTGTGGCTGCTCCAAAAACCAGCCTGTCCTGCCTTCTTCCCTGTTGACCAGCAGGCTGGCCAGAGCAAACAATGGAGCTGATAAGTTGGCCCTGAGCCCAGGACACTAGCCTCTGCTCTCTCGCTCCTGGGGGGCCCAAGCTGAGGTGAGGGCGCCACACCCACCCTGACATCCACACCCTCCCCACTCTTCCCTTCCTGCTCGGCCCCTCCCTCCAAAGGGCCCCTCCCGGAGCCCTTTATTTTGCAGATAGGGTATCTCTGTCTTTGTGGCCTGTGTCACAGCGTAACTATCTTTCTCAGGTGAGAACCTGGGTGGACAGCAGCTCCCGTTTTTCATGTGCACTGGGAAAACATGCATTGTCAAGGGTGCACACCATTCATGTGGTCAAGTTCAAAGCCCCTTGGTGAACTGCTCACGGTGTTGCTGCCCGGGGTGGGGGGGCTGTTTGTATTGTCCTGCCTTTCTGCCTTGTTGACATCCTTCACCATATGGAGGTATTGTTTTTATTTATTTGTCTTTTAAATTATATTCCACCGATCACCCTGTTATTATTGATTTTATTTAAAAGAGGTCAACAAGGATTAGCCTACTTACAGCATTACAGCCCACTTCAGCTTCTCCGTATCCTTGACCCCTATTTAAAATGCTGAGCACATGGTAAAGGGAATAAAAATCTAAAAGCCATTGGTGAAGGAAATAATTAGCTCTTGGTTTCTTTCTTTTTTATTTTTTTAAAGCAACCCAAAGCCTTGAAGTTTAGATTGTGCTTCTTCAAGTAAGGTAGGTAGGTGTTGGGAAGTGGGTGCAGAACTGGGCGGAGGAGAGGCCTCGGAGACTCTGGCCTGCGCCTGCGCGCTGTGGTGTGCTTGGCGGGCCTGCCCGTGCTGTGGGTTCAGGTCGTGCTCTGGTGTGTGTGCTCTGGTGCATGTGGGCTGGTGTCTGGTCTGTGTTACAGAGGCACACACACACAGAGGAAGTGCTGGTGCCCGATTCCCTGCGCTCTCCCTGTGTCTCTGCGTGTCTCTGCCTGTCCCAGTGTCTCCACGTGTCTCCACCTTTCTGTGCCCGCGATGAGTGTCTACATGTCTGTGTCTCCTCTGGTCGTCTCTTCCCTCCCCCACAGCCTGTACCCTGTGTGGGTAACTGGACCTGGGACACAGCCCCCGGGGCTGGCAGCAGAGTTGGCTGCTGGGTATTTTTAGCTTGTAAACATGTTTGCCATTTCAGAGGACAGGGCCTCTGGTCTCAGCCCCAGCCCACTCATGATCTTGCAGCAAGGAGGGCGCTCCTGCCCAGGGGGAGGGGTCTTTTCAGGTCCCCAGCCCCGGGGCTCCCTTCTGCAGCATTTGGGGAGGAAGGAAAGCTGGCCCGATGTGGGCCGTGGGTGGTGGCTTGGACGGAGGGTAGAGGATTCATGGGGGAGAAGAGAGTGGGGGTGTGGAAGGGGGTGGGTGTGGGCAGAAGGACCCCACACCCTGTCATTAAGCGTTTCATAAAATCTCCACGCAGTTGGAAGTGGCTGTGGGAAATGACCATAAATTTAGAGACAAAGCGTCCAGCAAGGGGGGTGGGGGAGGGGCTCAAAGAGGGCCTGGGCAGGTGGAGGACACGCGGGGGCGCGGTTTCTCGGCTGCTGCCGGGGGTCTGGAGAAAGGGGGGCGGCTGGGGCCAAGGGCTGCAGGCCTGACTCCGGCAGCAGTGGCGCCGGCCCTGGTGTCTCCGGCTTCCAGAGGTGCAGCGGCGTCTCCCAGCCGGTTCTATGGGGGGAGGGCTCAGGGGTCTCCAGAAAGAGGGAAGATGAGAAAGGGGCGCGTCTGCATGGAACTTGGGAGCCAAGTGAGGAGACTGAGGCCTAGGATCTGAAGCGCAGTGGTCTGTGTTGAGAAAAATCTCAAAAGGTCAGTGTCAGCCTGGAGGTTGCGGCCGAACTGCCCAAGCTCCCCAGATGCCTTTCTGAGCCCCTTGTTCGTTCCTGGAAAATGTTCTGATTCCCAGTTCCAGCTTGATGGATGAGCTTCGGGGAGCTGGGACGGGTTTCCTGCGGGTGGAGCCCCACTTTGCACGCGTGGGTGGCAGACCCAGCCCCGGGCCAGGACAGGGGGCAGTGGAAGGCGTCAGGGGAAGGTAGCACCTCGGACATGCGCCCCCTTGTCCCCAGGTCTCCCCCCTCCACTTCCACCCTCCCCACCCCCAGCAGCCCGCTCCCGGGTCCCTGCAGTCGACCCAGCTCGCTCGTCCCAACCCCACTCCGGCCCCGCCCGGCCCCGCCCTCTCCCCACAGCTCTGGGCAGACCCGCCCGCCCCAGCCGGAGTTACAAGAGCCGCCTCCCCGCACAGGGGCCCGGCCACTCGGAGCAGCTCCGCCGCGGGGACTGCACCGCCCGCCCTGCCGGACCCGCCCCGACCGGGGCTCGAAGCCTGCAGCAGCCGCAGCTCCGCGACCACGGCCCACCGCGGGCCATGTCTGTGCCCCGGGGTTGAGCGCTCAGGTAGGGGCCGGGCGCACTGGGGCGCGGTCGGGAAGCCGGACACGGGAGCGAGGAAGGGAGGTGGGGTGCAGGGCTTGGGCGAGGCACTTCGGTGAGTGTCGCTGTGAGGATTCAAGCAGTTTGGAACAAGCTGGGCAGTCCCGGGCTGGCGCGCCCTGGGAGCCGAGCTGCGGCTCCGGAGTTGGGGTGTAAGTTGGGTGAAGTTGGAAAGTTGTTCCAAAGCGCGCTTTGCCCCGGTCCGTATTTCTCTCGAGGGCTGATTTCTGGCCCTACTGCACGTCCGGGCGCCGCGTTCCCGGCCCGGTGGCCCCCGTCCCACCCCCGCCCTCTGCGTGGGGCGGTGGCTCGGCGCGCCGCTCCGGTCCTATTCCATGTTTACAGGAGAAGTTTGTGAGACCCTTGCCGCGGCCCCTTGCCCTCTCCCGACGCCCCTGCCTCTGTTCCTCCCCGTACCCCACACCTCCACCCCGAACTCCGCGTCCCGGGCCCTCCCGGCCCCACCCAATTCTGTACCATCCGCCTCTCCCTCACTTGCTCCTGGCTGCCCCCCAATCCCCCTCCAGTTGCCCCACCCTAGCCTTGCCCCTCTATGTACCCCATCCCGAAAACTCCCTTCTTCCTTCAGGGCTGGGGAGCCTGCAAGTTCGCAGCGCGCCTCCCTGCGGGACGGGTGGGAGTGGGGGTGGGGGACATAATTAGGGAGATTCCTGCACTGGGGTGGGCGGAGAAGGGGGGGGACTGCGCGCCGGCACCGCCCTTGGGACCGCCCCTTCCCCCGGAGGCGGTGCTCTCTCCCCCAACCCACTCCCAAACCCGTCCGGGCGGGATGGCCCCCGCCCCAGCGCCTGGATTGGCGCCAGCAGCCTGAGGAATGTGGTGGTTGGAGCCGGTGACTAATTCAAACCAGAACTCGGGAGGAGTGGTGGGGGGCAAAGGGGAGGGGGAAGGGGCTGTGTGTTGGAGTTGGGGGCTGGAGCCGGGCTCGGCGTAGGAGGAGGGCCGAGCTGCGGTCGCTGCAACCCTGCTCCGACGCGCGCTGCGCTCCGGGAGAGAGGGCCCGGGGGCCAGGTCCCCGCGGCGGAGTTGGAAAGGCAGCGTGCTTAGGGTGTGTTCGAACTGTGTTATGTAAGGCTTTCCCATGCCGGGAGAGGGTGTGCAGTGTGCTAGGGATTGGCCCTCCCCCGACGGGGCTGGGCGACCCCTGCAGTGGCCGTGCAGGGGATGTGGGGGCGCAGCCCCCTGGAGATGCTGGCTTGAAGGGACCCGTCGGGTCTGGGCTGGACTGGCAGTGCCCCTTGCGTGGGAGGGGATTGGAGTGGGCAGATGAGGCAGCTCACAACTCTGGGCCTGAACACCAGGTGGGGGTGGCTCTGGCGCCTCTGCTCGATGTGGCCGCAGAGAATGGTGTGCTCGCGCCTTTCACTGGGTGTGGCCACCAAGACGTGCTGGTGGTGGTGGTGAGGGGCCTCCAGGGAGCCTGCCGTGGCAGCTGAGTGCCCTACTCTGTGGAGTGGGTTTGTGGCAAGGCAGGCTGGTGTCTTCCCGTGGAAGTGGGGTCTTTAGAGAATGGCCTGGAGTTTCTGGGAGAAAGTGACCCAGATATTTAGCTCTGTGTCTCCAGCATAGTGTAAGGCGCCCAATAATGGTGTTGAAAGTGTCCCGTATTAGAACGTAGCCTCTGGTTTCAGGGGTCACGTGGCCCTCCTCACACAGACTAGCCCACCATAGGGGCTGGGTTGATGATGTGGGGTGCAGGGATGTCTTGGGGAGGCTGCAGCGCAGGAGGGGCGAGAGGGAGATGGACAGTGCCTTGGGAGACAGTTTAGGATCCCCACCTATGCTGGGTCTCAACTAGGGGGGTAGATTCTGCTTTCACACCCTCCTCTTTCCCTGCTCGCTGGGAGGGAAACCCCTGGGGCAGGGTGTGGCACTCACTTCCTTTCGAAGCTGAATGGGGAAGCTTCCTTCTCGCACAGGGATGGTGGGCCCATGGGCTGGGCCCGCGTGCGGGAGCTGAGTGTGCAGAGTGGAGAACAGAGGGAGCCCCGAGCCTGGGGGGCTCCTTCTTGCTGTGGGTGAGGGGAGGTGGGAGTGGGCCTGGGATGGTGACAGCTGGGCCGGCGGAGGGCCTGGGCGATTGGAGGTGGAGATTGGAGGGTGTCTCTAAAACCCTGCTCCAAAGAGGTTATGCCCAGGGACATGGCTCGGAGAACACACACCTCAGGGAGCCACGGAAGTAATTCGGGGCTTAGGGCTGCAACCTGGAGGAGGCTCACAGCCGAGAGTCAAGGGTCCCTGGTTTGAGGGGCTCCTTGAAGAGCCCATCTCACAGAGCTGAGGGCCTGCAGCAGCCAGACTGGGCTCGGGGTGAGGCCTGGGTGGGGACATGAGAGAGCGGACTGTGGGAGACCTGTGAGGGAGGCAGGGGATGAGTGGGGGTCCTCTTGGTCCCAGGGAGGCCCTGGGTGGCGCTGCCGGGGCACCGCCAGGCCGGATTCTTTGGCTGAGCCTGGAATTGGCTGGCCGGCCCTGGCAGAGCTCATCCCAGAGCCTGAGGAGCTGGTTTGAGGGGTTGCAGCAAAGCGGTGGGGGTGGAGGGGTGTGTGTGGGGCTTCGGGTGTGGTCACCACCTTCCTCAGAACCTGGGAACCGCCTGGGGACAGACAAAGGGGCAGACTGGGAGAGCTGGTCTGACTCCTGGCAGGATCTCTGCCCCTGCTGGCCCTCCCCCACGCTCCCAGCCACCCCCAGGTTTCTCTCCCTGGAGCTGGGCTGACCACGTGGAAGGGAGGTGGCCACTGGAGAAGGTTTAAGGATGTTATAGCAGCCAGTGTCTGGGGCCTCTGTTCTCTGGGTCTCCTGTGGCTTCACTCGGGCTCCCAGGGAGCTGCCATTTTCCTAGGCTCCTGCCATCCCGCGGGCCCTCTGGCCTTGCTGGGCAAGCTCGGTTACCTGCAGCTGCCTCCACTCGTGGGCGTGCAGAGGGCCTTTGGGGGCCACGAGGGTGGGCACAGCAGGGCACAGCAGGACTGAGTGTTTCTGCGGAGCCCCTCTTCCTTCCTGCTGGCCTTCGTTCCCATCAGGGGGCCGGCTGGGCTGTTGCAGCGGGAGGTCCTGGGTCCAGGGTGAGTGTTTCACTGTGGCCTTGGGGTGCTGCGTCTGCCAGTGTCACGGCAGCGAGCAAGGTGTGAGGGTGTCCCTCTGTACACGGTGGTCCCCGCATTGCCTTGGGCCTGGGTGTGTCATCACTGCTTGTGTTTGGGGTTTAGAGGGCAGGGGACAGTGATGGGACTCGCCCTGGTGGTGCCATGGGGACTGCAGGGGCCATAGGTAGGGACTGAAGTAAGTGTCTCCAACCCCGGCAGGTTCTGGACCCTGGAGTTTGTGTCCAGGGGTCCCATAGGAGGGTAAGGACAGCCCCGGGGGTGAGGCCTGGACCCGCTGAGCGAGGCACTGCCCTGGGTAGTCAGGGAGGGGTATCCTGCCCTGTCCCTGGGGGCCAGAGCGGAGGTTCCTGGGGAAGGGGAAGTGCCTGGAGCTGATCCGGACTTTGGGCCTCTCGTCCCGGCTGGGCTGGGGGTGGCGGCTCTTTGGCAGCCAAAGGGCCTGCACTGGTATGACCTGACCACTGGGTGGGGATCTGGGCCTCGTGGGGGCTCTGATTAGGGCACCAGCAGGGCTGGTGGGCAGCTCCCAAGCTGTAATCTTCCCCCCCAGGGAGAGCCGGCGGGTTCCTCACCTCCCCACACCACCCATGGAATTCGACTTCTAGAGTTTGGTGTCTTAATCCCAGCAGCTCTGGGTCAGAGCCCATGCCTCCAGGGCCCTGTGGCCAGGTCTGGGGACCTCCTGCTAGTGAATGTAGTGCTGTCCTCAACACCTGTCACAAGGAAGGGAGAGTCCCTCTTAGTCAGGGTGAGTTCCCTGGCTGATAAGAGTGGGAACTGAGAACTGGCTTCTGAGCTCACTGGGGAAGTGACCACAGGAGAGGTGGGGAGAGGTGGGGAATGGCGGCGGGGTGGAGCCCAAGAAGCAGTTGGCAGGCTGGGTTGGGAGAGGGGAGGCCCTGGAAGTCAGGCGCAGGAAGCCCGTGAGATGGGTAAGGGCTGGCGGGGCTGGAGAGACCTCCTTCCGCTGGGTTGTGGGCTGGGCCAGCGGCCCAGGTACTAATAAGCGAGATAGGCAGGTGCACACAGGTGGAGGGCAGCAGAGACCCGTGTCTCTCCAGTGCCCATGTCGCTGGTCTGGTTGCAGGTGTCCCCTCCCCCGTGCCATCTAGAGTCTGCTGAGTGTAGACGTCCTTACCTCCAGTCTAGACCCTGGAGATGACGGCACAGGGCTGGTCCAGCCGGACTAGGGCCTGGTGGCTTTTCTAGACAGAGTTCTGCCCGCTGCATACGTGGGGGTCCGTTTGGAGGCTTAGGGTTTCTCCTTGGCCTTCGGGGATGAGGGTCTGCCTGCCACGCTGTTCCCATTTCTCAGTGAGTGGAGGTGTTTGCCGCGCCCCGCCGGGCCAGCTCTGTGGGTCCCGTGCTGCCCAAGCCCCAGGCGGGGATGATTCTTTTGGCCTTGACCTGTTGGGGCCCAAGAAAGCTGGGTCTTGGGCTGCTCAGGATTTCTGACCCCTGGGGACATTGCCTCGATGAGCCTCGTCACCAGAAGACCCCTCAGGGATGCCTTGGACACTGCCCATTCTGGGTCCGCTGTCCCCTAGCCGGACCAGGGTGAGGCCCATCTTCCTGGTGGGTGTGTCTGTGTGGTTCTTACCCATCCCACTTCCAGTGTAGGTTTCTCCCTTCTGTGTATCTCCCTTGTGCATCTTTCTCTGTGGTTCCTCATCCTGTGAGTGCCTTTACTTGTGCCTTTGTCCCCAACCTGGGTACAGACTGGTGGCCTTGGTGTCAGAGGACTCGGGGCTTGCCTGTCCGTCTTGGCTCATCCTTGGACGAGTCACCTACCTCTGGGGCCGGCTTCTGCCAGTTTCTGTTCTCTAAAATGAGGACATGAATTTTTAGTCCCAGAGGGCTTTTTGGGGATCGAATAGGACCCCAGGCACGGCGCTCTCCAGCGCCCGCCCGCCTGGCCTGCCCCGGGAGCCCTGTGGGATTCTCTTCCAACTGGTTGGGCTTTTCTTTCCATGTGGGACTTTCTGTTCCTCTTTGAAGTCTGGTGAGTGAGTGAGAGTAGGCTGCCCCTCTGGGTGTCTTGTTTACCCCAGGTCGCCCTGGTTATAAGTGTTTGGGGCTTTCCCTCCGGTGGTGGTCTCTGCCCCGGCGGTGAGTCATTTCATTCTCCTGGTGTAGTGACTGCTTCTCCCAGGCCTGTGTGTGTGGCGGGTCGGTTCATGCACGTGTGTGTGTCCTGTGCTGCTGGGTGGAAGCCTCGTCGCTATGAGTGTTCTCCTCGTTGTGGGTGGGAGTGCTGCTCCCCGCTCAGAGGCTCACTTCTCGTGTCTGGCCGGCGCTGGGTGTGTGTGCCGACTCGCGCTCCTCTGATGTGTGTATCTGGTCTCCAGGCTGGGGGCTCAGAGGCACTGAGGCCCTGCCCTATCTCTCGGGGGTGGGGTGGGGGTGTGTGTGTGTGTGTGTGTGTGTGTGTGTGTGTGTGTGAGCTCCTGTCCCGCAACACTGTTGCTGGCTGCATGCTGGTCTCTGACTGCGGCAGCCCCAGCGTTGGGCCGGCCCTGCGCTGCTGTCTTCCTTGGGCTTTGGGGAAGAAGGGGCTGTGCTCGGGGTGGCCATGGGAGAGGGTGCCCCCCGGAGGTCACCACACCTGGTGGAAGCCCTCTGCCCAGGGCAAGGAGTCTTCTCCCTGGATCTGTCCTGTTCGTCCCCCATCTACAGAGGCTGCACCTCCTCTTTGGGGTTTTGAAGGGACAGGACGGCTTCGTTCTTGCTGCTTCAGGCCTGGATTACACTCTGTCCCGCGGTCTCAGACACGCGTCCTCTCAGCCTGGCAGCTGGAGGGGCCTCACCATCTCACACCTTTTCTGCTCTCCAAGCAGCCCTCTGCTTTCAAGGGGCTCTGCTGCAGCCCTGCGTGTGCTGTTGCCGGTGTTGGGGTGGGCAGGGGTGGGCAGGCAGCAGGTCTCGGGCTCTGGGCCCCAGGGCCCCCTGTTCTCACCCCCAGACCTCACCCTCTCCATGTGCAAACAACAGGTGGCGCTGTGGCCTTCTGGAATGTTCTCTGTGCTGCCCAGCGCGGTAACCATGTGTGGTTGTTGAGCTCTTGAAATGTGGCAACTGAGACCAGTGAACTACGTTTTAAACTTAATTTCAGTTAATTTAAACGTAAATAGCCACCTGTGCCTGCCTTGTTGGCAGCACAGCTGCAAAGGCTTCTGGCACTTGGCTGAGTGCACGGAACTCTCCGGAGCGCTGGAGACCCTGCTTCGGGTGGCCTGCTTCTCCCGACTTGTGTGGGAGGAAGAGGGGGCAGCAGGGCTTGGCACAGGCTCCAGGGGTGGCGGAGACTGAGGGCTGGGGCCCAGGTGCAGAGAACACGCCCTGGGCACCGTGGCCCTGAATCTCTATCGGTACCCCCATGTTCAGCTGTCTGCGTGGCCCAGATCAGATGAGAGGGCAGGGGAGTCCTCCTGGCTGGGCCTGCAGGCAGCGGAGCCAGAGCAGGCAGGCAGGCTGGCTGGCAGCTCCAGCTGGCTGGGAAGCCAGCGGAAAGCTCTGCCAGGGCCAACCTGTGGCCCAGGGTCCAGAGCTTCCCACTCTCATGGCTTGTGGGCCCTGCTCTACTCCAGATGGCCTTCTCCCCTCTTCATCAGCAGTCTGGGGCCAGGCAAGTTCAAGTCCCTCCTGAGCCTCCCGACTGTGCTCTTAGGGACTCCGTCTGGCTTGGGGCCCCGTGGGAGCAGCTGGCGGGGAAGCCGACTGTCTGTGTCCGCTGGAGCCCCAGCCCCTCTGGCACTGGGGGTTTGGCCCACGAAGCCCTTTGTTGGGTGGTTTTTAGGTGTTGCCCTTAGCATGTTTGGGGCTGTTGTGACCACAGTGACTCACTGGGGAAGGAGGGAGGGTGGGGCCAAGATGTGGGCGAGGGTGAGCTTGCTCTCCCCCTGCGCCCGCTGCTGGCTCAGCACCAGGATGCTGGGCTGAGAAATGGGGGCCCTCTCAGGGAGGAAGGTGGGTGCCCGGGGATCAGAGATGCGAGAAGCCCTCAGGCTGCAGGCCTCTTCCTTCCCTGCTCTGCCTGGCTCTCGCCTGCAGGGCTGGCTGCAGGGGAGGCACGGTTAAGTTCCGGCTCTGTCCCTTTCACGTGGGGAAGGGTCAGTGTGACTTGTCGCCTCCTCTGCCTGTGAGGAAGGGAGGAGGTGTGGCTCCCGCTCACATCTGTGCCCACAGGCTGCTCCCTGCCCTCCGCCCCCACACGCAGCCCTGCCGGCCTCCTGGAACACCTGTGCTGAGGAGGAGCCGCATTATCGTAAATACCGCAGGTGTGAGTGCAGGTGGTCGGGCGCCTGAGGGTCCGTGGGGCTGTCTTCCCCCGTGTTGTGACGTTGGCAATGCTAAGTGCCCACGAGTGTCCACGAATAATCCTGTTTCTCAGAGGCAAACTAGCACCTTCAAGATCCCACCTATGTTTCATTCTCTCAGAAGTCTCCCAAGCCTCCTGGAACGTCTGTTCATGTTTATATCCAGGACGGGAGCCGCGTCTTTTCCATCCCCATGTCTGGCCCGTGGAGGATGGAGGGTGCAATTGGGTGACAGTTGAGCGTGGCGTGTCGACACATTTGGTGCTGAGCCCAGCTGTCTGTCCCTCACCCGTGTGCTCTGCAGGGCCCAGGGCAGGGTGGGACATGCAGGAGGCGGTCAGCATACACACATCTACCGACTGGCTGACTCACTTCTGTGTGCAAATGGCTGTAGAGTGGGGCGCCGGGCCAGGTGCTCCGTGATTGACAGCGTCCCCCAGTCTCCCAGACATGCTCTGGGTGGCACTGCCACTGCCATTTTGTGTAGGTGGCTGTAGGCTGTGACTGGAGCCGGAGTCCCGCCTGCTGTCTTCTCGGGGCACCTCTCTTGCTGCCAGCTCATCCTGTGGCCAGAGGGCGTCTTTGCTCCTGAGTGCCTGCACCTATGGGATCCTGGCTCGGGGCCCAGCGTGGGCGGCCGGATGGGCCCTGACTCACCCGGTCCCTGAGGCCGCTCTGCTGGACTCCAGCCTCTCGGGCTGGGACCAGTGCCTGGGGTGGGTGGGCTGGGGGGTGGCTGGGGCTTCCTTTGTTCAGTGACTGCCTGTGACTGGGCTTGTGGAGCTCCCAGCTTGCAAGGGTCCCCCTGGTCCCTGAGGACATATTTAGACAAGGTGCAGAGTCACCGTCGCTACCTGCAGAGCTGATGTGACAGGGTGTGGGGAAGGAGGTCCAGGTCTGGGCCCATGCCCATGGACAGTCGCTTCGTTACTGGGTGTGGGACCGGGGCCAGGGGGCCACTGAATGCCAGCCCTTCTGTCTGCACAGGGACGGCGCCTCCTGAAGCTGGTGTGAAGGCGCTCACGGGGCTGTGTGTGTCGGGGGGCTCCTGTGCCCGGATCTTTTCAGGACACTCTCTCCCCTTCAGTCCTCACGGAAGTCCTTATCCTCTCCATTGTCACAGATGTGGAATTGGAGGCTCGGGGGATCTTAAGGGACTTGGCAGGGGGTGGCCCAGCTGGGAGGATCAGATCCAGGACTTGACGCTGAGCCGGCCTCCTCTAACCTGTCTCCGTGCTCCCAGGCTGGTGAGTCGCGAGTGAATGGAACTGACGACAGCGAGGGTCCGGGTTCTGGTCTGGCCCGGGGGACAGAACATCAGCCATTGCTTTTGTGGCCACCGGTTGGGGTTCGAGCACACTGTTGTTGAGTGCGGTCATCAGTGTGAACTTTTCCCTAGGCTGTGTGACCGAGATTCCCCACGGAGAGACTGAGGAGAGGACAGGAAGGAGGGGCGGGCTCCTGGCAAGGCATTCGCTCCTGAACTGAGTCCTGCAAAAGGTCAGTAGGAGGGAAGGTGACGAGCGAGGTGGAGGTGATGGGGTGGGGAGGGTGGAGACCCCTGGGTGGCATCAGGAAGCTGGGCGTGGGCGTGTGGGAGCAACATGGGGCTGGTGACACGTGAGGCCGGTTGCATCCCTCATCCGCTTTCCATCTTCTTCATTGTGCCTTGGAGCATCTCTGCGGAGGGAGTGGGTGCCTTGGAGACGCACCCAAGATCCGTCCCAGGCCTTCTCATCCCCTTAGCGGTGCACCTTGTGCCTCACTGTCTCGAACTCACCCCCTCCCCTCGTTCCAGATGGAGAAGGAGGAGGAGACAACACGGGAGCTGCTGCTGCCCAATTGGCAGGGCAGTAGTTCCTCCCACGGGCTGACCATTGCCCAGAGGGAAGATGGCGTCTTTGTGCAGGAGGTCATGCAGAATTCCCCTGCGGCCCGCACTGGGGTGGTCAAGGAGGGTGAGTCATCACAGGGTGTTGCCTGGGGGCTGGGTTGGGGTGGGTGAGGGTTGCAGAGAGAAGGGCAGAGGGCAAGCAAAAGTGGACATGTGGCTGTGGAGGGGCTGGGCTCAGTGCCATCAGGATGGTCAGTACCCAGATCCCACCCTCTCTTGTCCACTCCATGTCCACCACTTGCTCAGGATCCCTGGGAGAGGTGGTCATGTGGGGAGGAAGCTGGAGACAGTCCTCAGTTCTGACCACACCACTCACAAGTTCTTGCCATTTTGGGAAAATTAGCTGACCTCTCTAAGCCTCAGTTTCCTCATCTGTATAATGGGTGCCACCACGTCTGCATTGCAGAATGGTTAGGACATGCATTAAATGCAAGTCCGTTGGAGCACTGAGCACATGGTGTTTGTGTGTCCTTTCTCTGAGACCCGCTTCTTGTTCCTCCCTGCTCAGGGGACCAGATTGTGGGTGCCACCATCTACTTCGACAACCTGCAGTCAGGAGAGGTGACGCAGTTGCTGAGTTGCATGGGGCACCACACCGTGGGTCTGAAGCTGCACCGTAAGGGGGACCGCTCCCCTGAGCCTGGCCAGACCTGGACCCAGGAGGTCTTCAGCTCCCACTCCTCAGAAGTGGTTCTGGTGAGTGCCCTGCCGGTCTGTCTGCGTCCTGAGCTCCCCCCGGCCGCACCGACCTGCTGGCCCCACTTCCTGAGCTTTCTGTCTGCCTCCTGCACCTCTCCTGTCTGTCCTTCTGCTGATCTCACTCCTCTGCGCTCTCGGTTGAGTCAGCCAAGTTGTTCCAATTCCCGGGTGGCGTGTGGCTGATGCTGCCACTCCATCTCAGCCTCCGCAGAGTGCTCCAGTGTGGGCACGGGCTCATGCTGTTTGGTCCTAGATGCTGCTTTGCCAGAATCTTTGAAATGATTTCACAGGTGCCCAGCTGTACCGCTCACAACATTTTCCTACTTCAGAGGCCTGGACTCACCTGTGAGTCAGAGGCTGGGCCACAAGGTACCTGAGGGACATCTCCCTGCTCCTTCCGATGGCTTCTTTCTGTAACGGATAATGGGGATCAAAGGGAAAGCATTCGCCCAAGCATGGCCACTCTCACCCCAGCTTTCCTGGGCTCCCCACTTAAATAATCATGCCAGGGAGTTGAGAGCCTCAGGGTCAAGTCAGGGCAGAGCTGGTCTCTCAGAAGCGTCCCCAGTACTTGACCGGAGGTTGGAGTCTAGAATCAATGGTAAATCCTTTTTCCACACTGTGCCATCCAGGAGTCTACACCCCTCCTCTCCCCAAGGCTTTTGCTTCCTTGAGTTTCCCCAAATAATTTCTGTTTTCCTCCTGCGATGTGGTTGTCAGCCCCTCTCACCGGCCCTCTGTGCTCTGCCCCGGGAGGCTCCGTGGACTGCTGTTATGGTCCCAGCTTCTCTGGGAAACAGGCTGGGCTGCGGCCGGCGTCTGTAACCCAGGCAGACTCTGCTGCAACCTCTGCTGGGCGTGTCTCTCTGCAGAGCGGGGATGATGAGGAGTACCAGCGCATCTATGACACAAAGATCAAGCCTCGGCTGAAGTCGGAGGACGGAATGGAAGGGGAGACCCAGAGCCGCACCATCACGGTGACTAGAAGGGTCACGGCCTACACTGTGGATGTGACGGGCCGGGAAGGAGCCAAGGACATCGACATCAGCAGCCCTGACTTCAAGATCAAGATTCCACGGCACGAACTGACCGAAATTTCCACTGTGGATGTGCAGAGCCAGCCTGGAAAGACAGTGATCAGGCTGCCCTCAGGCTTGGGGGAAGCGTCTTCGACCACAGGCTCTGCTGTGGACATTCAAGCAGGTTCCATTTCCACTTCCGGACCAGAGCTCCAAGGTGCCAGCCACTCGAAACTCCAGGTCACCGTGCCTGGCATAAAGGTGGGAAGCCCAGGCGTCAATGTCGGTTCAAAGGGCCTAGACTTGGGTGGCAAAGGGGGAGTCCAAATTCCAGAAGTGGGCATTTCATCTGCTTTTAGGGGCGGGGCAGTAGAGGTACAGGGCCCATCTCTTGAGAATGACAATAATGGGAAAATTAAAATTCCCACCATGAAGGTGCCCAAATTGGGTGTCTCCACAGGGCCCGAGGGCCAGTTTTCAGAGACAGGGTTTAGTATTTCTGCACCTGAATTGTCTGTGGGGCACAAGGGCAGCAAGCCAGGCATGACCATGGGTGGGAACATCCAAACCCCTCAGCTAGAAGTCAGTGCTCCCTGTGCCAGTGTTGAGGGGAAGCTGAAGGGCCCCCAGATTACCGGACCATCACTTGAGGGAGACCTAAGCCTGAAAGGTGCCAAGCCACAGGGGAATATAGGGATGAATATCTCTGCTCCAAAAGTCAAGGGCAACATCACTGGCCCCAGTGTGGAAGTTCAAGGCCCTGATGTTGATATGCAGGGGCCTGGAGGCAAACTGAATATGCCCAAGATGAAAGTCCCCAAATTCTCTGTATCGGGTTCTAAGGGAGAAGGAGCTGGAATTGATGTGATACAACCCACAGGTGAAGTGACTCTTCCTGGGGTCTCTGGGCATGTCAGCCTGCCTAAGGTTGCTACTGGGGGGCTGGAAGGGAAGATAAAGGGTACTAAAGTCAAGAATCCTGAAATGGTTATTCAGAAACCTAAAATCTCCTTGCAGGAGGTGGATCTGACCCTGGGGTCCTCCAAACTGAAAGGAGATATTAAACTTCCCACTCAGGAGGTGCAAAGTGATGTTAAGGGACCTCAAGTGACAGTTAAAGGCTCCAAAGTGGACGTACAGACACCCAGCCTAGAGGGGACCCTGGCAGGACCCAAGCTGAGTGGTTCTCCTGGGAAAGTCGGAACCTGCAGTATCTCTATGGCAGATGTAGACCTAACCGTGGGTGCACCTAAAGTGAAAGGGGGTGCAGATGCCACACTCCCAAAAGTAGAAGGGAAAGTCAAAGTCCCTGAAGTTAATGTCAGAGGCCCCAAAGTGGATGTCAGTGCCCCAGATGTGGATCTTCATGGCCCAGAGTGGAACCTGAAAATGCCCAAGATGAAAATGCCCAAGTTCAGCACTCCTGGAGTCAAAGGGGAAGGTCTGGACGTAGATGTGAATCTACCCAAAGGACATGCCAGTATTACAGGGCCCAACGTCAACATGGAAGTCCCAGATGTCAACATAGGAGGCCAGGGGCGTGAATTTAAAGGCCCTGATGTTAAGTTGCCTGAAGTGAGTGTCAAGACACCAAAGATCTCCATGCCTGATGTAGAGCTACATGTTAAAGGCACAAAGATAAAAGGAGAGTATGATGTAACGGCACCAAAACTGGAAGGGGAACTGAAAGGCCCCCAGGTGAACATTAATGCTCCAGATGTGGATGTTCACGGCCCCGACTGGCATCTGAAGATGCCCAAGATGAAAATGCCCAAGTTCACAGTGCCAGGGCTCAAAGCAGAGGGCCCAGATGTGGACGTGAACCTGCCCAAGCCTGATGTGGACATTTCCGGGCCCAAGGTAGATGTTAGTGCTCCTGATGTGAGAATTGAGGGACCAGAAGGAAAATTGAAAGGGCCCAAATTTAAGATGCCTGAGATGAACATCAAAGCCCCCAAGATCTCCATGCCAGATGTGGGTTTACATCTGAAAGGCCCTAGTGTAAAAGGAGAATATGATGTCACAGCACCAAAGATTGAAGGTGAGGTTAAAGTTCCCGATGTTGAACTCAAAAGTGCCAAAGTGGACATTGATGTCCCAGATGTGGATGTGCATGGCCCAGATTGGCACCTGAAGATGCCCAAGATGAAAATGCCAAAGTTCAGCATGCCTGGCTTCAAAGCAGAGGGCCCAGAAGTGGATGTGAACCTGCCCAAAGCTGACATTGACATCTCAGGACCCAAGGTGGATGTTGAAGTTCCAGATGTGAACATCGAAGGACCTGAAGGAAAGCTGAAGGGTCCCAAGTTTAAGATGCCTGAGATGAATATCAAGGCCCCAAAGATCTCCATGCCTGATGTGGACTTGCATATGAAAGGTCCCAAGGTCAAGGGAGAATATGATGTCACAGTGCCAAAGCTGGAAGGTGACCTGAAAGGGCCAAAAGTAGATGTCAGTGCCCCAGATGTTGAAGTTCATGGTCCTGATTGGAACCTAAAGATGCCCAAGATGAAAATGCCCAAATTTACCATGCCTAGTCTCAAAGGAGAGGGCCCAGAACTTGATGTGAACCTGCCCAAGCATGATGTGGACCTTTCTGCACCCAAGGTAGATGTTAGTGCTCCAGATCTGAGCCTTGAAGGACCTGAAGGGAAGTTGAAAGGCCCCAAGTTTAAGATGCCTGAAATGCACTTCAAAGCTCCTAAGATGACTCTGCCTGATGTTGACCTTGATCTTAAAGGACCCAAAATGAAAGGAAATCTAGATATGTCTGCACCAAAAATAGAAGGTGAGATGAAAGTTCCAGACGTGGAAATCAAAGGCCCCAAGATAGATATGAAAGCACCAGATGTGGAGGTACAAGGAGACTGGGGCCTGAAAATGCCCAAGATGAAAATGCCAAAGTTCAGCATGCCTGGCTTCAAAGCAGAGGGCCCAGAAGTGGATGTGAACCTGCCCAAGGCCGACATTGACGTCTCTGGACCCAAGGTTGACATTGAAGCCCCAGATGTGAGCCTGGAGGGACCAGAAGGGAAGCTGAAGGGTCCCAAGTTTAAGATGCCTGAGATGCATTTCAAGGCCCCCAAGATCTCCAAGCCTGATTTACATTTGAAAGGCCCCAAAGTCAAAGGGGATGTGGATGTGGATGTGTCTATGCCCAAGATAGAAGGTGAAATGAAAGTGCCAGATATGGACATCAAAGGACCCAAAGTAGACATTGATGTCCCAGATGTGGATGTTCATGGCCCAGACTGGAACCTGAAGATGCCCAAGATGAAAATGCCCAAGTTCAGCATGCCTGGCTTCAAAGCAGAGGGCCCAGAAGTGGATGTGAATCTGCCCAAGGCCGACATTGACATCTCTGGACCCAAGGTTGACATTGAAGCCCCAGATGTGAGCCTGGAGGGACCAGAAGGGAAGCTGAAGGGTCCCAAGTTTAAGATGCCTGAGATGCACTTCAAGACTCCCAAGATCTCCATGCCTGATGTGAACCTAAACCTTAAGGGACCAAAACTAAAGGGAGATGCAGATGTGTCTTTGCCTGATGTAGAAGGTGAAATAAAAGTGCCAGATGTCAATCTTAAAGGACCCAAGGTTGACATTAGTGCCCCAGATGTGGATGTTCATGGCCCAGACTGGCACCTGAAGATGCCCAAGATGAAAATGCCCAAGTTCAGCATGCCTGGCTTCAAAGCAGAAGGCCCAGAAGTGGACGTGAACCTGCCCAAAGCTGACATTGACGTCTCAGGACCCAAGGTAGATGTGGAAGTTCCAGATGTGAACGTTGAAGGTCCAGATGCAAAACTAAAGGGTCCTAAATTTAAGATGCCAGAAGTGAATATAAAGCCTCAGAAGATACCCATGCCAGATGTTGGTTTGCATTTGAAAGGTCCTAAAATGAAAGGAGATTTTGATGTTACAGTCCCAAAAGTAGAAGGAGAGATAAAAGCTCCTGATGTGGACGTTAAAGGTCCCAAAGTGGATATCAGTGCACCAGATGTGGGGGTTCATGGTCCAGACTGGCACCTGAAGATGCCCAAAGTGAAAATGCCAAAGTTCAGCATGCCTGGCTTCAAAGGAGAGGGCCCAGAAGTGGATGTGAACCTTCCCAAGGCTGACGTTAGTGTCTCTGGACCCAAGGTGGACATTAATGCCCCAGATGTGACTCTTGAAAGTCCAGAGGGGAAGCTAAAGGGTCCCAAGTTCAAAATGCCAAGCATGAATATACAGACACACAAAATTTCTATGCCTGATGTTGGACTTAATCTGAAAGCCCCTAAACTGAAGACTGATGTAGATGTTTCCCTCCCTAAAGTGGAAGGAGACCTAAAATTTCCTGAAATAGATGTGAAAGCTCCTCAGGTGGATGTGGATGTTGGTGATATTGATATTGAATGTCCTGAAGGAAAGATGAAAGGCCCTAAATTTAAGATGCCTGAGATGCACTTTAAAGCCCCCAAGATCTCCATGCCTGATGTACACTTGAAAGGCCCCAAAGTCAAAGGGGATGTGGATGTGTCCGTGCCCAAGATAGAAGGTGAAATGAAAGTGCCAGATGTGGACATCAAAGCCCCCAAAATGGACATTGATGCACCAGATGTGGATGTTCAAGGCCCAGACTGGCACCTGAAGATGCCCAAAGTGAAAATGCCCAAGTTCAGCATGCCTGGCTTCAAAGGAGAGGGCCCAGAAGTGGATGTAAACTTGCCAAAGGCTGACATTAATGTTTCTGGCCCCAAACTGGACATTGATGCTCCTGATTTGGATATTGAGGGACCAGAAGGAAAATTAAAAGGCTCTAAATTTAAGATGCCTAAATTGAATATCAAAACTTCCAAGATATCCATGCCAAATGTGGACTTGAATTTGAAGGGACCCAAACTGAAAGGTGAGATAGATGCTTCCATGCCAGAACTAGAAGGTGATATCAGAGGTCCCAGCGTGGATGTGGAGGTGCCCGATGTCGATCTGGAATGTCCTGATGCAAAGTTGAAGGGTCCCAAGTTTAAGATGCCTGAGATGCACTTCAAGACCCCCAAGATCTCCATGCCTGATGTACATTTGAAAGGCCCCAAAGTCAAAGGGGATGTGGATGTGTCTGTGCCAAAATTGGAGGGAGATTTGAAGGGTCCCAATGTGGACATAGCGCTGCCTGACGTCGATCTGGAATGTCCTGATGCAAAGTTGAAGGGTCCCAAGTTTAAGATGCCTGAGATGCACTTCAAGACCCCCAAGATCTCCATGCCTGATGTACATTTGAAAGGCCCCAAAGTCAAAGGGGATGTGGATGTGTCTGTGCCCAAGATAGAAGGTGAAATGAAAGTGCCAGATGTGGACATCAAAGGACCCAAAGTAGACATTGATGTCCCAGATGTGGATGTTCATGGCCCAGACTGGAACCTGAAGATGCCCAAGATGAAAATGCCCAAGTTCAGCATGCCTGGCTTCAAAGCAGAGGGCCCAGAAGTGGATGTGAACCTGCCCAAGGCCGACATTGACATCTCTGGACCCAAGGTTGACATTGAAGCCCCAGATGTGAGCCTGGAGGGACCAGAAGGGAAGCTGAAGGGTCCTAAGTTTAAGATGCCTGATATGCATTTCAAGACCCCCAAGATCTCCATGCCTGATGTAGACTTACACTTGAAAGGCCCCAAAGTCAAAGGGGATGTGGATGTGTCTGTGCCAAAATTGGAGGGAGATTTGAAGGGTCCCAATGTGGACATAGCGCTGCCTGACGTCGATCTGGAATGTCCTGATGCAAAGTTGAAGGGTCCCAAGTTTAAGATGCCTGAGATGCACTTCAAGACCCCCAAGATCTCCATGCCTGATGTACATTTGAAAGGCCCCAAAGTCAAAGGGGATGTGGATGTGTCTGTGCCCAAGATAGAAGGTGAAATGAAAGTGCCAGATGTGGACATCAAAGGACCCAAAGTAGACATTGATGTCCCAGATGTGGATGTTCATGGCCCAGACTGGAACCTGAAGATGCCCAAGATGAAAATGCCCAAGTTCAGCATGCCTGGCTTCAAAGCAGAGGGCCCAGAAGTGGATGTGAATCTGCCCAAGGCCGACATTGACATCTCTGGACCCAAGGTTGACATTGAAGCCCCAGATGTGAGCCTGGAGGGACCAGAAGGGAAGTTGAAAGGCCCTAAGTTCAAGATGCCAGACATGCACTTCCATGCTCCCAAGATCTCCATGCCTGATGTTGACTTCAACTTAAAGGGGCCTAAAGTGAAAGGAGACTTTGATGTTTCTGCCCCAAAGATGGAAGGAGAGTTCAAGGGTCCAGAATTGGATGTCAAGGGCCCCAAATTGGATGTTGAAGTGCCAGACGTAGCTGTGGAAGGCCCAGATGGCAAATGGAAAAGTCCTAAATTTAAGATGCCAGATATGCATTTTAAAGCTCCCAAAATCTCCATGCCAGATGTCAATCTACACTTAAAAAGCCCCAAGATCAAAGGAGAAGTGGATGTAGATGTTCCCAAATTGGAAGGGGACCTCAAAGGTGACATCAGTGGGCCAGATACCGACATTGAAGGGCCAGAGGGCAAATTGAAAGGCCCCAAGTTCAAGATGCCTGACATGCATTTCAAAGCCCCAAATATTTCTATGCCTGATGTGGACCTGAATCTGAAAGGACCTAAAATCAAGGGGGATGTTGATGTGTCTGTGCCTGAGGTAGAAGGTAAAGTACCAGATGTGAACATCAAGGGCCCCAAAGCAGACATAAGTGTTCCTGAAGTTCACGGACCAGACTGGCACCTGAAGATGCCCAAGATGAAAATGCCAAAGTTCAGCATGCCTGGCTTCAAAGCAGAGGGTCCAGAAGTGGATGTGAACCTGCCCAAGGCCGACATTGATGTCTCAGTGCCCAAAGTGGACATTGAAGGTCCTGATGTTAACATTGAAGGACCAGAAGGAAAATTGAAAGGTCCTAAATTCAAGATGCCTGAGATGAACATCAAAGCCCCCAAGATCTCCATGCCTGACATTGATTTGCATCTGAAAGGCCCAAAAGTAAAGGGCGATGTGGACGTTTCTCTGCCTAAAGTTGAAGGCCCTGAAGTTGACATAAAGGGCCCCAAAGTGGACATTGATGTACCAGATGTAGATGTTCATGGCCCAGATTGGCATCTGAAGATGCCCAAGGTGAAAATGCCCAAGTTCAGCATGCCTGGCCTCAAAGGAGAGGGCCCAGAAGTGGATGTGAACCTGCCCAAGGCTGACATTGATGTCTCAGGACCCAAAGTGGACATTGAAGGTCCGGATGTGAATATTGAAGGACCAGAAGGAAAGTGGAAAAGTCCAAAGTTTAAGATGCCTGAAATGCATTTTAAGACTCCAAAGTTATCCATGCCAGATATTGATCTTAATCTAACAGGTCCAAAAATAAAAGGAGGCATGGAAGTCACAGGTCCCAAGGTAGAAGGAGATCTGAAAGGCCCTGAAGTTGACCTCAAGGGCCCCAAAGTGGACATTGATGTCCCAGATGTGGATGTTCATGGACCAGACTGGCACTTGAAGATGCCTAAGATGAAAATGCCCAAGTTCAGCATGCCAGGATTCAAAGCAGAGGGCCCAGAAGTGGATGTGAACCTTCCCAAAGCGGACATTGATGTTACTGGACCCAAGGTAGACATTGAGGGCCCTGATGTTAACATTGAAGGACCAGAAGGAAAATTGAAAGGTCCCAAATTTAAGATGCCTGAGATGAACATCAAAACCCCCAAGATCTCCATGCCTGACTTTGATTTGCATCTGAAAGGCCCGAAAGTAAAGGGTGATGTGGATGTTTCTCTGCCTAAAGTTGAAGGTGACCTGAAAGGTCCTGAAGTTGACATCAAAGGCCCCAAAGTGGGTGTCAATGTTCCAGATATGGATGTTCATGGCCCAGATTGGCATCTGAAAATGCCCAAGGTGAAAATGCCCAAGTTTAGCATGCCAGGTTTCAAAGGAGAAAGTCCTGAGGTGGATGTGAACCTGCCCAAGGCTGACATTGATGTCTCAGGACCCAAAGTGGACATTGAAGGTCCTGATGTTAACATTGAAGGTCCTGAGGGAAAGTTAAAAGGTCCCAAGTTTAAGATGCCCGAGATGAACATCAAGGCCCCAAAGATCTCCATGCCTGACATTGATCTTAACCTGAAAGGCCCCAAAGTGAAGGGTGATGTGGATGTGTCTTTACCAAAAGTGGAAGGTGACATTAAGGCTCCTGAAGTGGATATTAAAGGCCCCAAAGTGGACATTGATGTCCCAGATGTGGATGTTCATGGCCCAGACTGGCACCTGAAGATGCCCAAGGTGAAAATGCCCAAGTTCAGCATGCCTGGCTTCAAAGGAGAAGGCCCTGAGGTGGATGTGAATCTGCCCAAAGGTGATATTAATGTCTCAGGACCCAAGGTGGATATTGATGTTCCAGATGTTAATATCGAAGGTCCAGATGCAAAACTGAAGGGTCCCAAATTCAAGATGCCTGAGATGAATATCAAAGCTCCTAAGATATCAATGCCAGATTTGGATCTCAATCTTAAAGGTCCTAAAATGAAAGGAGATGTCGATGTTTCACTTCCAGCTGTTGAAGGTGATTTGAAAGGGCCTAGTATTGACATCAAGGGCCCGAAGATAGATTTGGATGCTCCAGATGTTGACATTCATGGCCCAGAAGGCAAATTAAAAGGCCCAAAACTGAAGATGCCTGACATGCATGTAAACATGCCCAAGATTTCCATGCCAGAAATTGACTTGAATTTGAAAGGCTCAAAGCTCAAGGGAGATGTTGATGTTTCTGGGCCCAAGTTTGAAGGTGACATTAAAGCTCCCAAGTTGGACGTAAAGGGCCCAGAAGTGGACATTTCTGGTCCTAAGCTTAATGTTGAAGGCAAGTCAAAGAAATCTCGTTTTAAGCTTCCCAAATTTAATTTTTCGGGCTCCAAAGTTCAAATGCCTGAGGTGGATGTCAAAGTGAAAAAGCCAGATATTGATGTAACAGGCCCCAAAGTTGATATCAATGCTCCTGATGTTGAGGTCCAAGGAAAAGCAAAAGGATCCAAGTTCAAAATGCCTTTTCTGAGCATTTCATCTCCTAAAGTTTCTATGCCTGATGTGGAGTTAAATCTGAAAAGTCCTAAAGTCAAAGGAGACTTAGATGTTACAGGTCCTAACTTAGAAGGTGACTTTAAAGGACCACAAGTGGATCTTAAAGCACCAGAAGTTCATCTTGATGCACCTGATGTGGATGTACATGGTCCAGACTGGAATTTGAAAATGCCCAAGATGAAAATGCCGAAGTTTGGTGTGCCTGGCTTAAAAGCAGAAGGGCCAGATGTGGCTGTGGATCTACCAAAAGGAGATATCCACATAGAGGCTCCTAAAATGGACATTGAGGGCCCAGAAGTGAATGTGGAAGGTCTAGAAGGAGGTTTAAAAGGTCCCAAAATTAAGATGCCTGACGTGAATATCAAAGCACCCAAGATCTCCATGCCTGACATTGATTTAAACCTGAAGGGCCCCAAGATAAGAGGTGATGTGGATGTTTCTCTGCCCAAAGTAGAAGGAGATCTAAAAGTGCCAGGGGTTGACATCAAAGGTCCCAAAGTAGACATTGGTGTTCCTGATGTGGATGTTCATGGCCCAGACTGGCACCTAAAGATGCCCAAAATGAAAATGCCAAAGTTCAACATGCCTGGCTTCAAAGGAGAAGGCCCTGAGGTGGATGTGAATCTGCCCCAGGCCGACATTGGTGTCTCAGGACCCAAGGTGGACATTGATGTTCCAGATGTGAATATTGAAGGTCCAGATGCAAAACTGAAGGGTCCCAAGTTCAAGATGCCTGAGATGAACATCAAAGCTCCTAAGATCTCCATGCCTGACATTGACTTAAACCTGAAGGGACCCAAAATGAAGGGCGATGTGGATGTGTCTTTGCCAAAAATGGAAGGTGACCTAAAAGGCCCTGAGGTGGACATCAAGGGCCCCAAAGTGGACATTGACACTCCTGATATTAACATTGAAGGCCCAGAGGGGAAATTGAAGGGGCCTAAATTCAAGATGCCAGAAATGCACATAAAGGCTCCCAAGATCTCTATGCCTGACATTGATTTAAACTTGAAAGGCCCCAAGGTAAAAAGTGATATGGATATTTCCCTGCCTAAGGTTGAAGGTGACCTGAAAGGCCCTGAATTTGACATCAAAGGCCCTAAAGTGGATATTGACGTCCCAGATGTGGATGTGCATGGCCCAGATTGGCACCTGAAGATGCCCAAGATAAAAATGCCAAAGATCAGCATGCCAGGCTTCAAAGGAGAGGGCCCAGAAGTGGATGTGAACTTGCCCAGGGCTGACATCGATGTCTCAGGACCCAAAGTGGACATTGAGGGTCCTGATGTTAACATTGAAGGACCAGAAGGAAAGTTGAAAGGTCCTAAGTTCAAGATGCCTGAGATGAACATCAAAGCCCCCAAGATCTCCATGCCTGACTTTGATTTGCATCTGAAAGGTCCTAAGGTCAAAGGAGATGTGGATGTTTCCCTCCCTAAGATAGAAGGTGACTTGAAAGGCCCTGAAGTGGACATCAAAGCCCCCAAAATGGACATTGATGCACCAGATGTGGACGTTCATGGCCCAGACTGGCACCTTAAGATGCCCAAGATAAAAATGCCCAAAATCAGCATGCCTGGCTTCAAAGGAGAGGGCCCAGAAGTGGATGTGAACTTGCCCAGGGCTGACATCGATGTCTCAGGACCCAAAGTGGACATTGAGGGTCCTGATGTTAACATTGAAGGACCAGAAGGAAAGTTGAAAGGTCCTAAGTTCAAGATGCCTGAGATGAACATCAAAGCCCCCAAGATCTCCATGCCTGACTTTGATTTGCATCTGAAAGGACCTAAGGTCAAAGGAGATGTGGATGTTTCACTCCCTAAGGTGGAAGGTGACCTGAGAGGCCCTGAAGTGGACATCAAAGCCCCCAAAATGGACATTGATGCACCAGATGTGGATGTTCAAGGTCCAGACTGGCATCTCAAGATGCCCAAGATAAAAATGCCCAAGTTCAGCATGCCCGGCTTCAAAGGAGAAGGCCCTGAGGTCGATGTGAACCTCCCCAAAGCTGACATTGACATCTCAGGACCCAAGGTGGACATAGACACTCCTGACATTGACATTCATGGCCCAGAAGGGAAACTGAAGGGCCCCAAGTTTAAAATGCCTGACCTGCATCTCAAAGCACCCAAGATCTCCATGCCTGAGGTTGACCTGAATCTGAAAGGCCCCAAAGTGAAGGGTGATGTGGATGTGTCTTTACCAAAAGTGGAAGGTGACATTAAGGCTCCTGAAGTGGATATTAAAGGCCCCAAAGTGGACATTGATGTCCCAGATGTGGATGTTCATGGCCCAGACTGGCACCTGAAGATGCCCAAGGTGAAAATGCCCAAGTTCAGCATGCCTGGCTTCAAAGGAGAAGGCCCTGAGGTGGATGTGAATCTGCCCAAAGGTGATATTAATGTCTCAGGACCCAAGGTGGACATTGATGTTCCAGATGTGAATATCGAAGGTCCAGATGCAAAACTGAAGGGTCCCAAGTTCAAGATGCCTGAGATGAACATCAAAGCTCCTAAGATCTCCATGCCTGACATTGACTTAAACCTGAAAGGTCCCAAAGTAAAGGGTGATGTTGATGTTTCCCTGCCTAAGGTTGAAGGTGACCTCAAGGGTCCTGGAATTGACATCAAAGGTCCCAAAGTGGACATTGATGCTCCCGATGTGGATGTTCATGGTCCAGACTGGCACCTGAAGATGCCCAAGGTGAAAATGCCCAAGTTCAGCATGCCTGGCTTCAAAGGAGAGGGCCCAGAAATAGATGTGAACTTGCCCAAGGCTGACATTGATGTCTCAGGACCCAAGGTGGACATTGCTGTTCCAGATGTGAGTGTTGAAGGTCCAGATGCAAAACTGAAGGGTCCCAAATTCAAGATGCCTGAGATGAACATCAAAGCTCCCAAAATCTCCATGCCTGACCTTGACTTAAACTTGAAGGGCCCCAAAGTGAAGGGTAATGTGGATGTCTCTCTACCTAAAGTGGAAGGTGACCTCAAAGGCCCAGAAATTGACATGAAGGCACCCAAATTGGACATTGATACTCCTGATATCAATATTGAAGGTCCAGAAGGAAAATTGAAGGGGCCCAAATTTAAGATGCCAGAGATGCACATTAAAGCTCCCAAGATCTCCATGCCCGACTTTGACTTAAACTTGAAAGGGCCAAAGGCAAAGGGTGATGTGGACCTTTCACTTCCTAAGGTAGAAGGTGATCTGAAAGGGCCAGAGATGGACATTGAGGGTCCTGAAGGGAAACTGAAAGGCCCCAAATTTAAGATGCCTGATGTGCATTTTAAAACCCCACAAATCTCCATGAGTGACATTGATTTGAACTTGAAAGGACCAAAGGTAAAAGGAGATTTGGACATTTCCGTTCCTAAACTGGAAGGAGATCTGAAAGGCCCCAAAGTGGATGTTAAAGGCCCTAAGCTGGACGTAGACACTCCTGACATTGACATTCATGGCCCAGAAGGGAAACTGAAGGGCCCCAAGTTTAAAATGCCTGACCTGCATCTCAAAGCACCCAAGATCTCCATGCCTGAGGTTGACCTGAATCTGAAGGGTCCTAAAGTAAAGGGAGATGTGGACGTGTCTCTGCCCAAAGTGGAAGGTGATCTCAAGGGCCCTGAAGTTGACATCAAAGGCCCTAAAGTGGACATTGATGTCCCAGATGTGGATGTTCATGGCCCAGACTGGCACCTGAAGATGCCCAAGGTGAAAATGCCCAAGTTCAGCATGCCTGGCTTCAAAGGAGAGGGCCCTGAGGTGGATGTGAATCTGCCCAAAGGTGATATTAATGTCTCAGGACCCAAGGTGGACATTGATGTTCCAGATGTGAATATTGAAGGTCCAGATGCAAAACTGAAGGGTCCCAAGTTCAAGATGCCTGAGATGAACATCAAAGCTCCTAAGATCTCCATGCCTGACATTGACTTAAACCTGAAAGGTCCCAAAGTAAAGGGTGATGTTGATGTTTCCCTGCCTAAGGTTGAAGGTGACCTCAAGGGTCCTGGAATTGACATCAAAGGTCCCAAAGTGGACATTGATGCTCCCGATGTGGATGTTCATGGTCCAGACTGGCACCTGAAGATGCCCAAGGTGAAAATGCCCAAGTTCAGCATGCCTGGCTTCAAAGGAGAGGGCCCAGAAATAGATGTGAACTTGCCCAAGGCTGACATTGATGTCTCAGGACCCAAGGTGGACATTGCTGTTCCAGATGTGAGTGTTGAAGGTCCAGATGCGAAACTGAAGGGCCCCAAATTCAAGATGCCTGAGATTAATATCAAAGCTCCCAAAATTTCCATGCCTGATGTCGATCTAGATTTGAAAGGACCCAAAGTCAAAGGAGACTTCGATGTGTCTGTCCCTAAGATTAAAGGTAATTTCCAAGGCCCAGAAGTAGACCTTAAAGGTCCGGGTTTGGATTTTGAAGGCCCAGATGCCAAACTCAGTGGCCCACATTTGAAGATGCCATCACTGGATATATCTGCCCCTAAAGTAACTGTCCCTGATGTCGATTTGCATCTCAAGGCACCCAAAATCGGAATTTCTGGTCCCAAATTAGAAGGTGGAGAACTGGACTTTAAGGGGCCTAATGTTGATTTAGAAGCTCCAGACTTAGATGTACACATGGAGAGCCCGGATGTTAACATTGAAGGACCAGATGTTAAAATCCCTAAATTTAAGAAACCCAAGTTTGGATTTGGGGCGAAAGGCCCCAAAGCTGACCTGAAGTCACCTTCGGTTGATGTGACTGTTCCTGAGGCAGAGTTGAACATTGAAACTCCTGACATTAGTGTTGGTGGCAAGGGCAAGAAGAGTAAGTTTAAAATGCCTAAAATTCACATGAGTGGCCCTAAAATTAAAACCAAGAAACAAGGCTTTGATTTGAGTGTTCCTGGGGGTGAGATCGACGCCAGCATGAAGACTCCCGATGTAGATGTCAGTGTGACTGGGCCAGACGCCACACTGAAAGTCGACGCGAAATCTCCAAAGACCAAGAAAACTATGTTTGGAAAAATGTACTTCCCAGATGTAGAATTTGACATTAAATCACCCAAATTTAAAGCGGAGGCCCCCAAAATGGAGGGTGAAATCCAGGTTCCTGACCTTGATATGTCTTCACCAGGGATGAGTGTGGAAGGTTCTGACATCAAGCTGAAGGTGCCGAGTGTGGATGTGTCTGGACCCAAGATTGAGGGCAGCTTGAAAGGCCCCAGGGTGCAGGCAAACTTGGGTGCACCTGATGTCAATATTGAAGGCCCAGATGCTAAAGTCAAAGCACCATCATTCAACATTTCTGCCCCTCAAGTCGCCCTCCCTGATGTGAACGTTAGCTTGAAAGGACCAAAGATAAAGGGTGATGTCCCCAGTGTAGGATTGGAAGGACCAGACATAGATCTGCAAGGTCCAGAATCGAAAATCAAGTTCCCCAAGTTTTCGATGCCCAAGATTGGCGTCCCTGGTGTGAAAATGGAGGGTGGGGTGGCTGAGGCCCATGCACAGCTGCCCTCGCTTGAAGGAAGCGTGAGCTCACCGGATATTAAGCTTGCAGGGCCCGATGTGTCTCTGAAGGGGCCAAAAGTAGACTTGCCTTCAGTGAACCTCTCTATGCCAAAAATCTCCGGACCTGACCTTGATCTGAACTTGAAAGGACCAAGTTTGAAGGGAGACCTGGCTGTCTCTGGTGACATTAAATGCCCTAAAGTATCGGTAGGTGGCCCTGACCTAAGCTTGGAGACACCTGAAGGTGGTTTCAAACTTCCCCACATGAAGCTACCCCAGTTCGGCATCTCCTGTCCAGGGTCTGACTTGGACATTAACGTCAAGGGGCCACAGCTTACTGGAGATCTAAAGGGGCCAGGCATGGACATGAACCTCGGAGGACTGAACTTGAAAGGGCCACAGATCTCTGGCCCTCAGATCTCAGCACCGGATGTGGACTTGAACTTGGAAGGACCAAAAGTAAAAGGGAGCCTTGGGGGCATTGGTGAGATGAAAGGCCCCTCTTTTGGAGGAGGTCTTCCAGGCATCAGTGTTCAAGGCCTGGAAGGGAGCCTCCAAGTGCCCGGAAGTAAGGCCTCTGCATGTGGCGTGGGGCTGCAAGGTGTGCATGTGAAACTCCCCACCGGGCAAATTTCTGGCCCTGAAATCAAAGGCAACCTGCCAGGAATAGGTGTCCACGGGGCCGCTCCCGACATCAGTGTGAAAGGGCCTTCATTTAACACGGCATCTCCGCAGTCTGATTTTGGTATTGGCTTGAAGGGCCCGAAAATCAAAGGAGGTGTGGATGTTTCAGGGGGTGTCAGTGTCCCAGACGTCAGCCTGGGGGAAGGGCACATGAGTGTCAAAGGTTCTGGGGTTGAGTGGAAAGGACCCCAGGTGTCCTCTGCTCTCAACTTGGATGCCGGAGGACTTCATTTCTCAGGACCAAAAGCAGGAGGAGGTGCGAAAGGCCAGATTGGACTCCAGGGTCCTGGACTGAGTGTATCTGGGCTTCAAGGTCAGTTGGAAAGCAGATCTGGAAAAGTAACATTCCCTAAGATGAAGATCCCCAAATTCACCTTCTCTGGCCGTGAGCTGGTTGGCAGAGAAGTGGGGGTGGATATCAATTTCCCCAAAGCAGAGGCCAGTGTCCAGCCTGGTGCCGGAGAGGGCGAGTGGGAAGAGTCCGATGTAAAACTTAAAAAGTCCAAAATCAAAATGCCCAAGTTCAATTTTTCTAAACCTAAAGGGAAAGGCGGTGTCACCAGCTCCCCAGAAGCGTCCATCTCGGGGTCCAAAGGGGACCTGAAGAGCTCGAAGGCCAGCCTGGGCTCCCTGGAGGGGGAAGCAGAGGCGGAAACATCTTCACCCAAAGCCAAGTTCTCCTTGTTTAAAAGTAAGAAGCCACAGCACCGCTCCAATTCCTTCAGCGACGAAAGGGAGCTCTCTGCACCTTCCACCCCGACCGGGACTTTGGAGTTTGAAGGTGGGGAAGTGTCGCTGGAAGGTGAGAAAGTCAAAGGGAAACACGCGAAGCTGAAGTTTGGTACCTTTGGTGGATTAGGGTCAAAGAGCAAAGGTCATTATGAGGTGACTGGAAGTGATGATGAGGCAGGCAAGTTACAGGGGAGTGGAGTGTCCTTGGCCTCTAAGAAGTCCAGACTGTCCTCTTCCTCCAGCAATGACAGTGGGACGAAGGTTGGCATACAGCTTCCCGAGGTGGAGGTGGTGGTTTCCACGAAGAAGGAGTAGCAGGCCTTCGTGTACATACATGTATAAAGATCCATCAGCTTCGGGTGTGTTTGTATATGACCTCCCCAGAGAAACACGCCGACAGCCTCAGCAGCAGTGCGACCAGCTGGCCTCTGCCGGCGGCGGGTGCTGAGCCAGCTGCCATCCAGCTCCTGGAGCCTCACGGGCAGGCCGGGGCTTCAAGTCCCACCAGCCCGTGTGCAGAGTCGCGGCGTGTGCCTGGGGATTTCGGTTTTGTTGCTGCCGTTGCAGATTGTGCGCTGGGAGCTCCTGTTTACTACGCCAGCTTTTGTGTTTATTATTATCCTCATTTTTACTGAACATTGTTAGTGTCGGGGTAATGGAGACCCACTTTTTCATTGCAATGATGACTTTGGGGGCTTTTGTTAGCAAGGGGGGTGGGGTAGAAAGGCAGTAGAGGGGGGCCAGACCTCCATTTTCTCCTAAAATCGGATGTACGCAAACAGCCAACACCCAAAGAGGGCCGAGAGGAGGTGGCAGGCTGGGTGTGTGGGTGTTGTTTTAGAATTCTCTTCAGCATCGCTTTGTCCCCCAGGGGTGGTGGTCCCAGCCGGTGGGGCGCTTCAGTCAGAGGGAATTAGAAACTGTGCCAATCGGCCGACCCACTAGCCGAACACCGGGGGCTTCCATTCCGTGTGTTGGAAGAGAAACGTTTTCTTCGTGGCCACCATTTTCCTGATTAGTTCTGATTTCTTGTAACAGTTGTTATCATGATTAAGGAATTTTCCCGCACTTTAATGGCAACCTAATTAAGAATGTAAGAAAATCGACGCTGTCAAAGGCAAATAAAGCTGTGTATTAACCCTGACGTCCTGTGCCTTGGCGTTATGTGTTGAGGGGAAGAAGCTGAAGGAGGCTGCACACCAGCCCTGAGAGTTCACACGGGATCCACCCTGGGGCATCGCTGGGTTCACTACTGGGTAAGGGGAGGGACTCCGGGCTCCCGGCCCCTCCTGGTAAGGCTGGCCGTGCCTTTGAGAGGCTTGATGCTGGCACTCCAAGCCCCAGGACCCACTTGACACCTTTGCCACCTCAGATCTGAACGCACGATTCGGAAATGGTTCTAAACCGGTAAAACGATGCAGAGGGGAGTTTTTAAAAAGGCCTGTTGGAGTGGTGGAAGGGATCTAGCCGTGAGCCATAGGCCGGCCGTTGAATCCTGGCTTGGCTGCAGCTTTGCCGGGTGGTCTCAAGTTATCTGCCCTGCCTGGGCCTCAGTTTGCCCTTTGAAATAAGCAAGGGTGCGGGTCTTGTATCAGACACCTTCGTGGTTCCTTCGAGGCCACGTCAGGGCTGAACACGATGGCCGGTCTCTTCTGAGCATAGTCCCCTTTCGATTTCCAGCTCTGAGGACAATACACAGTGGGGGAGCCTCGTGGAAGGTGGCTCCTCAGGTCCGACACTGCTGGGCAGAGGGTCGTGTCCTCTCACACCAAAGCAAAGAGACTAAGCTCTTCCCCCGCCTTCCCCGGAGCTGCGGCCTTGCTGCCGGTGCAGGCGACTCTCCCATCACCCTCAGATCACACAACAGCTGCCGCCCCCGCCCACCCTCTGTGGGCAGCTTCTCGGGGTTTCTACAGGAGCAATGGGACCTGCCCAACGTGAACTCAACCTGCCCTTGCTCAGCTCGGTCCATCCATCCATTCCCCCCTCGGCCAGCACAGCCTCTGTCCCTGGGGGCTGGGGCAGTTGGTTTGGAAAAGAGAGGTAACAAGGCAAACATGTGGTCCTGTTGCCGCTTTCTTAAGGCAACTGACTTACTGCTGTGTTTGTGAATTGGGCCAGATACTGAACCCTCCTTTAGCCTCAGTTTCCTTGTCCCTAAAATTAGGGACAGTGTCCACAAGGTCAGAGTCCCCTCGGGTGTTTGGGCTATGTGCTGTGCAGGGATACCACATTTACCGGCGTGGACTTCATGGCAATGCCTCGTGTTGTTTTACAGCGGGCTCCGGGGGTGGGGTGTGGAGTCCCGGAGTGAGAATGCGCACACACCTACTGCCCACATGCCCCGGGGACCCGCCTTCTGTCTCAGCTGGGTCTGCGCTCCTCAGAGGGTGCTTTTGCTGAGCCACAGCTCGTGCCCGGTTCCTGGCCCTTGCTCAGTTCTGAAGCTGACAGGTACGTGCCGTGGGATGGTGTGTGTGCCTCCTGCGATGCACAGCCCTGGTGTCTGAAGGGTGGGATGAGTGGGTGACAGTGGCCAGGGGACATCTCCTGGGGTGCTGGAAAGATGCCCTGGGCAGAACTACCCATGGGGTCCAATAATTATCGTGTGTGTGTGTGTGTGTGTGTGTGTTTTAAGGATGGAGAAGGGGTGTGATACAGGCTTAGTAATGGCCCCCAGTGTTCATTCATTCAGTAAGTAATTTTTTAGCCCCCCTTGCCTCAGAATCCTCCTCTGCTGACCTCCACAGACCAAATGATACGGTGGACGCAGGAAACTAGAGTGCTTTTTTTCTTTTTTAAAGATTTTATTTAATTTTTAGAGAGAGGGGGAGGGAGAGAGAAAGAGGGAGAGAAACATCAATGTGTAGGAGAAACATCCATCAGTTGCCTCTCAAACGCCTGCACCCAGGCACCTGGCCTGCCACCCAGGCCTGTGCCGTGACCGGGAATGGAACCAGCACCCTTTCCCTTTGTGGGATTCTGCCAACCCACTGAGGCACGCCAGTCAGGGCTGGAATGCTTTGAACCCTAGAAATGTACATGAGCAAACGATACGTAGATACATCTGCCAGGGATGGTAAGGATGGTGATGGTTCCCCTGCCTCTTGAGATGTGACCTCCCCGGCTGGGACAGTCGGGGCTGCTGAGTAAGACGGGAGAGGAAGATGGCAACTGGCCATTCAAGTGGGGGATGCTTTCTAGCTGCCCTCTTCCTACATCAGGCCCAGGCCAGAGGCAGTGGCTAGGGAACAGAGCCCCCCCACCCCCTGCAGTGACCGTTAGCATAGGGCTGCCTTAGAGGAGTGCCAGGACCTGGAGAGGCCTGCGGATGGTCCATCCCCGCTGGCTCTCCGCCTGCCCTGCCTGCCTACTCTCAGTTCCTCTTTCCTTCTGTTCCTACCGGACACTTTCATCACTACCTGCCCTGCACTCGGTCCCTGCTGGGGTTGGTCTAGGTTGCTCCCCAGGGCCCTGCAGGGTCCAGACTCATAAGATCTAAACTCTGAGGTCCCAGTTCCTGCGGGAGCAGCATCAGGAGACTGGGAAGGAAGTTCCCAGCGTGGAACCATAGTAGGGACTGCAGCCCGACACTGCTGCACCTTGCTTTAGGCCATGTGACCGTAGGGAAAGTGGCGTGGGTAAGCAGGCATTTGGAAAACTGAATTGACTTGAAATGTACCACATGCTCACAAATAGTAGTGAGTGTTTTTCATCAACTCGGACTCATCTCGGAGTCTGTCAGGGTCCGCACAGGAAAGAGAATTCCACTCGAAGGTGGTTCAGCCACGGGGATTTTAATAAGGGACTGTTTGCGGAGGCTGGGCAGGGGCAAAGGAGCCAGCAAGGGTGGAGAGCCCCCAGGGACAGTGGGAAGCTGGTCCTGCCCCTGGGCCTGATGGCATCTGGGAAGAAAGGGTGTCCCTGGAAGCCGGCTCCAGCTGAGGCAGAGGAGGGACCATAAGCTGCAGGAACTATAGCTGCCCCATGAGGTAGAACGAAATACTACCTCTGCTGTTACGAATATATTTTTAAAGATTTTATTCATTTATTTTTAGAGAGGTTAGAGAAAGAAAGGGAAACGTCAGTGTGTGGTAGCCTCTTGTGGGCCCCCCCACCAGGGACCTGGCCCGCAACCCAGGGATGTGCCCAGGCATGTGCCTTGACTGGGAATCAAACTGCAACCCTTTGGTTTGCAGGCTGGTGCTCAATCCACTGAGCCACACCAGGCGGGGCTTGTTATGAATATTTTCGATCTTTTTCTTGGAACTGCTCTCAGTGTCACCTGTACATTAAAAAATTTACTTTCTTGGGGGAAACAAAAGTCTCCCTCTCTTGATTTTTGTGAAAAGCCAAAAGGTCTGGAAGATAAGTTTCCCAGGACAGAACCCCAAATATCCCACCGGCCTGGAAGTCAGTGGGCCTGGCAGTGGCCTCGGACGGATTAAGATCCCTCTCCGCCTCGGCTTCCTGATTTGTCACAAGGACCAGCCACACGTTCTCCGAGGCCCTGGACAATTTCTCCAGTCTGGGATCCAGGCTGGTTCACTAGGTGGATGGGGCTGCTGTGTGTCCAGGGTAAGATGTGATTAGAATGTGCGACCAATTTTCCTGTGTGGCTGGGAAGTTGGATCAGATGGTTTGAGCAATGGCAGCGTTACTGAGACCTGCTGCGTCTCCGGTGGCCCAAGGCACAAGCACAGCCCCCAGCAGGGCTCTGCATGGTGCTGGTAGGTGTGTGTGTGTCTCACACCTTCGGAGTCTCACCTCAGCCCTCTGGTGACGCGCGTCAGCTGTGACATGAGTAGTACCCAGGACATTCAGTTAAGCATGTCCCTGATGTTCCTTTTTTTTCCTTTCCTTTTTAAATGTATGTAGTTTGAGTTCAACCCAGCAGAGAAGTTGCAAGAGTAAGACAATGCTTACCCATATACCTTTCACTTAGATTTACCAATTTCCTTCATTTTCATCTCTCCTATGTAGGGTCCGGCAGAAGTAACGCCTGCTGGAGTGTGGTTGGTGGGGTAATGATTTGGGTGTAATAATTTATAGTTTTGACTTGAACATTTCACCTAAAATGTCCTATGGCGTGCTTGAGTGTGACATTGTTACGTTACAGAGTTACATGCTTATGATTTTGTAATAAAAGGGGTGTTATTTGTGCTGGACCCCTGTGTGTGTGCATGTGTGTGTTATAATTATCATGACTTTTGCTGAATCGTGGGAGAGTGAATCGCAGACACTGTGACCTTTCACCCCTAAATACCTGAGCACGCATGGGCATTCTCTTATGTCACCAGAATACAATCTTCAAATTCAGGAAACTTAACATCGACATATTATTTTCTGGCAGAGAGTCCATATTTAAATTTCACTAGTTGCACAATAATTTCCTTATAGCAATATCTTTTTTCCTATTGAGGCTTCGACCCATGTCCATGATCCCACAGGACACTGAATCCTTTCATCGGGACAGTCCCTCAGCTTTTTGTTGCCGTTGGGACGTTGAGCTTTTTTAAGTGTATGAGGCCAGTTGATTTGAAAACGCCCCTCCGTCCGGCTTTGCCTGTGTTTCCTCGTGAGATTCCGGTGATGCCTTTCGGGGCAGGAATGCCACTTAAGTGGTGTGGGGACCCTTCTCAGGACCCACATGACCTCGGTCCCTGGATTGAGGAGATTGCCAAGTTTCTCCCTTGAAACAGTGCCACGGTTTCTTTCTGGAATTAACAAGTAAACCCAAGTTTTCAAGAAAGAAGTCCAAGTTTGGGCAAATGCATTTCGCAAGCACACTTGAAACGGCCGTGGCCTGTGTGCCTCAGCCTTGGCGTGCTCTCCCGCTCAGGGTTTGGAAAGCGGTGTTCTGGCTCTGGGGCTTTGCAACACAGAGTAGCCCTCTGTCTCCCCTCACGAGGACAAAGAATTCGGGGCATGAATGCCTGCCATGGGCCGAGAATGCCATGTGCTGTTTACCAGCCTCCGATGGCCCTGTGGCGTCGTTCCGGCAGGCACAAGCGCTTCCGAAGGCTGGGCGTGCCCAGCGGAGGCTGCCAAGGGCCACAGCAAATGTGTGGGGAACATTCTGCTGAGGAGGGTGGTTTTAGTTCCCTTTAAAAACCTCTGTTATTTTCCACCACAGCCTGAGGC